TGCTTAGCAACAGCGAACAGAGTTACCCCCTTTTTCTCTTCTAGAAGCCACCACAGTAGATCACCACCAAGCCATCAGTGAAGTAGGGTCCACAGATGTAAGGACCCTGAGCAATGGGCTGGATTCTCCATACTCTGCAAGGGTGCCATCCAATGCAGTAGCTGATAGCCATATGTGGCCACTGAAATTAAAATTTTAATTACTACTTAATTTCATTTTTATTTCACTTGCATCTCACTTCCTCTGTTTTACTAGTCCCAGTTTAGCCACTCAATAGTCACATGCAGCTAGTGGCTACTGTACTGAACAGCCCAGAATAGAAAATATTTCCATTATCTCAGAAAGCTCATTGGACAGTACTGCTCTGGAATAAAGAAGTCCTTTTAAAATGTTCTTTTATTACCCCAAGGATATTATAAACACATGCTGAGAGTCCCCAGAGTGCGACGCATCACGTGCAGGCCTGCCTCCTCCAATCAGATGGAAGCCAAAGGGAGAAGGAAGCTGCATTCCCCCTGCAGGATCCTCAGTGAAGTCTCAGGCTAAATATTACGTAAGAAAACCCTCCAGGACGTGGGGCCCTCTGAAAGAAGGATGACTCATCTCCTAAGATCCATTTTAAGGATGAAGATAAAGTTCAAAATAACAGCTCTGAGAATGAAAGAGAATAGTAGAAGTCTATTGATTTTTAAAACGTTGCTTGGAACCCTGGAACATAAAATTTACTAGAAGACGTGACACTCCGGATTGTCCGTGGCAAATTGTTTAGGTCTGTATTTCCATCTGCATTTAATTCCTAAATTTGCATATGAGTCAAAAGAAGGATCTTGTTCTAATCTAAGGCCTAGGCTTTGATTCCACAAGAGAGAGAATGTTCTCATGTAAGAATATAAACTAGAAACACTGTTATAATAAAATGTGATTACACATGATGGAAAAATATACGAAGACTGTGAAGTATTGCTCTGGAATTTGGGGCCAAGATTCACATATACTGCCTTTAGGCAAACAGCAGCGGGCATTCCAGAGGATGAGGAAAGAGATATCATGAATGTCACAACCCGCAGGATTTTCATGGTACTCATATAACCAGCACTGAAATCTGTCCACTCTGTCATTTCAACTGTGAGAAAACAGGTGCTGAGGCCTACTCTGCAGATGGAAAAACAGACCTTAGTCTGACGCTGGTGTCATCAAAACATTAGTCTACTGGTTCCTATCTGGAGCCCTAATGCTTGTAAGCTACTGAACTGTTGACATCTCAGTAAGTCAGAAGTTAAAACTCCTGCCCAGGGAACAAATGCAGGAGAGCATGAGAATTTGAAAATTCACCTCTCCAGGCATCCAAGCTAACAAACGCTTATTGGCCTTCCTATTCAAAGAGCAGGATTCTTGAGAGAGGGGAAGTGAATGAAGGAACAAATGGAGTAGCTTTGTTTTCTTAAATAATAAAAACTAGTGACATTGTGTAAAAAATAAAAAAGACCTGTGGGGCTGTTTGTTTGTTTTTTAACAAGGAACAATGACAAATTAAAATCCTTAAATCATGAGGAAAGTTGACATTTTCTTCTGGAAGACCGGACGTTTAGGTTCAGAAACTATATTATAGTTGAGGTTCAGAAACTATTTTATAGTTTAAAGATCAAGCTTTCAGAAACCAGGAAATTCCAAAGCAAGCCTACAGCAGCGCTAACTTGGACCCATGACACATGGTACATATTTTACGGTCTGTGTTTAACAAATAGCTAGGAAATGGGGAAAAAAATGTTCCACGTATTCAACATGGCAGAGTAAATGCTGTAGCAGGCAGAAGAATTTCAAGATGTCTGAACACTACTCTGAGAATTCCTACTCCGTTACTCTACCTTTAGCACTTTGGTTTGTTTTTAAAATTTTTAGAAAAAAATACATGTGTAAAATACTATGCGCATCACCATTCTATAAACTTGAGAGGTGGTTCCCCCTCTTTCGACAATTCTTTAAAAATCTCATGAAACAAATTCTTCTTTTCCTCAATTTGAGACCTTAATTTTCTATCCCTGGAACTTAAAAATACTTACATAATTGTCTTCAAGTATGGCTTGACTTTTCTTCCTTGATGGAAACAGCAATCCTGCCAACTTTAAAATTTATAGCTACAACCGTATATTTTTCATTTTTAAAAACACAAAAGATCCCACAACCCTTCAAAGTAATTATGAACATTTCTTCATCTTAATCCCACGTCACTCTGAAATCTACTGCAACTCAGCATACAATGGAAAGAACATCTACCTCTGAGTCTCAGTGCAGAATATCACATTTGGAGATAATATTGATGTCTAAAAATATTCTAGTGGCAATCATACTCCAAACATCAATTTCACAACAAAGTAAAATTGTGTTAAACACAAATTCCTCTGTGTTTAACAAATAGGTGGGAAATGTGTGTGTGTGTGTGTGTGTGAATGTGTCTGTGAGTGTGTGTCTGTATCTGTGTGTGTCTGTGTATATGCTTGTATGTGAGTATGTACACCTATACCACTTTCTTACTTTTACAGACTATACCCCAGTTCTCAAAAGCAGTTTCACAACACCTCATTAATTTGATCTCCTGACAATCCTAAAAGGTATACGATGGGGGATTATTTATTATTCCACTTGATAGAGCAGTAAACTGAGTACAGAAAGGCTAAGTGACTTGGCAAAGCCCAAAGCTCATCAGCGGCATATCCTGGAAAACTGATCCGACTGCTGACTCCCAGACCTGGCCTTCAAAAGGAAGTTCAGGTGCGAGTTTCAACTAGACGCAAAATGTGCAAAGCTGCCCCACTTCTAACGTGGTCTGAACAAGGCTTCTTTTTTCTCCCCCAACATCATAACGGCTTACAGTCTATCTCTAGGCTGGAAAAATGGGGGCAGTCGCCTGGATTACAGAGGCTGCATGGAAAGACTGCATTTGCAAGTGTTTACATTTGCAACATTATATGCTTTTGAAAACCTAGTCAATATAATGCTATAGTCTAACAGCTTCTGAGGTGAAGTAAACTCCGGATCATGTATCTTTGAAAAGAAGTTTAAAAAGTAATCAAGAAAAAGTGTTTCAAGAAAAGTCTAGGCTGGAATTTAAATTGTAGCACTGGTTACAAAACTTGTTCAAAATTTGAATTTTCCCAAACAGATTTTGACTTTTTCTACATTTTCTCCTTGGCTCGGGAGACCACAACGAGGTGGTGTGGCAATGTCCCTTTCACTGTTAAGTTATGGGCTCGAGTTTACATCTAAATAGCATTTGTCTTCAATAAAAATCACTTTTAAAGGCAGCATTCCTGTTCTTTAAAATTACTCAAGGATTTGTTTTTCTTTTCAATTCCTCAAGGAAGCAACAGAAGGGAATGGAGAATGTGCCAACTTAAAATGTTACATGTGTTTCTCTATATTTTTCAATTATTAGGCAAACTCTCAGCAGACAAAAATGATTTTTTTCTTTCTTTTTCTTGTATTTTTCCCCCAAGAGTAGAGCTTGGCACAGGCCACATGGTGGTCACAGACTGTGCTGCAAACCAGGCAGGATTCTCAGGTCCCCTCTTCCAGGGTGATGGACAAGGAGGCATCTCAGCGTCCAGGCTTCCCCTCACAGGGGACTTACAGGAGGAAATGAGCAGTGCAGATGGGGGAGCCATCAGGGCTAAAGGGAGGGATGGGTCTGTGTGGACAGTGTCGCTACCAAGACAACTGACCTTAGGAACAAATTCAATACTGTGTTTTAACACCTCCACACACAGGTCACAGACAAAACAGTGGAGGAAAAACATCTACCGCACAACAGTAGTAGCCCTGGATTCCAAATATATGTATACCATTGGTTCGGCATCACAACCACAGCCAACTTTACAAGGAGACAATCTGCTGTTGGATAATTGAGCCTTTCCTCCCTAAAACATGTCTGTCAGTTCCTCAGTCAGGGTTTAGTCTAAATCACATGATTTACATTCTGTTTCTTTTCGATCAGATTGTAATTGGCTTTACATTTTGTTGTGTTTTTTCATTTGCCCCTGTTCTTGAATACATGGTTCAAATACATTTTCCCCCCTTTATTTTTTTATATAAAAGAGACTATATTTTATATATTTGAAGTTCGAACCATTTACATGCCACAACAACATTTTAGAGTTAGAATCAAACAAAAACAAACAAAAACTAGTTCCACTCTAGGCCAGGAAAAAATGGTGAAAGCCACACGAATAACCAGCCCTGAATAACTAAGCATAATGTCCACATAGTGATATCTGTGAATGTAGAGCTAGAATATTAGAATATAACAAGCCCTGGCCGGGTAGCTAAGTTGGTTATTTTCCTAATAAGCCAAGGTTGTGGGTTCAATTCCAGGTCAGGGCACATACAAGAATAAACCAATGAATTCATAAATGAGTGGAACAACAAATCAATGTTGTTGTTGTTTTTTCCTCTCTCTTTCTCTCTCAAAATCAATAAAGAAAACAATTTTTTAAGAATATAAAATACATGTATGATAAAATAGCAACATAGAAACAAGCTTATATAAGACATATATTATAGAAAAGAGAATGTTCACCCCCTATAATTACATCTAAGTTCACAAAAGACTGTTTTTTAAAAAAATAGGCTCTATATTCTAACTTAGGAATGTTGAAATAGCTGTATCTTGTGAACTGCACTTGCTATTTCAAATTAATGTGAGAAATTGTTCCCAAACATATTTTAAATGTGCATCTGTTGCTGCTTATCTATGGGAGTTCAAGTACAAACTGCGGATGGTCATCCAAAAGCAATGAGTATCTAAGACACATGTGACCCATATGCTGCGCAACCAAGGAGCCAACTACTTTATGGAGAGAGCTTGGCCTCACAGGATGGCTCAGATTTAACCTTGACCCAGAATGCACTCTCAAGAGGTGGTAGGGTTGTGGGAGAAATTCCTAGTGTGTATTCTAGACAGACCAGCAGGAGGAACACACGCAGCAATTGAGTCTTCCACCTACTTTGCGAAGCCAATGAAATCCTCATGGTTGGTGTTGATGTAGGAGACTTGGATGTCAATCAACAGTAGTACCTGTAAGTCGAAGAGAAACACTTCAGTGAAATCCATCTTAAATAGTCTCAAACACTAAAGTCAGCAATTGCCTGCAAATTATCTGCATTGAATTTTAAAAGGATGCTTCAGTGAGAATGAAAAGGTGCATTCATTTTTTTGGTTCATTAAATTCGTAATTTTTACTCTAAATTTAGAAATTGAAAATCTCCATGAAAAGTCTGATTCCCACAAGAAGACAATAGCATTATAATTGCTAGGCATGCACTCTTGGCCAACTTAACACAGAACCTAGAATTATTCTCTTCCTCTAAAATGTAGGCATGATGTTCAAACGAAGGGCACACATGTTAAACAGGACACACATGTATAAAAGGACACATGGCAAGGCCAGTGAGGAGCTGTTCAGAGCTTCCTGCTCCCATAGACACCATATGTTAGCCTCAAAATAGCAATATCCTCTCCTCTTCTATCTCGTTAAGTTCCCTATAAGCAAGCAGAAAAATGTCATTGACCCACTCAAAAGTGCAATATACAAATAAATAGAAAGCCTTCTTGAGATCAATAAGCTTCATCATCACAGCAAAACTTCAGTCAGTTCTCTGCTAAAAGATCACCTCATTGGGGGATCCTCTCGGCCGGTTCTGTCTGAATTAGCACTCTTCTTACTCTCTGTCCTATGTCTCGAGCTCATTTTCCTTTTGTAGCACTACCACTAGCTGACATAGGAAGTTTCTACAAATTGACTTTATGGACCCCATCTGCTGTAGCCACTACTGTATCCCAGGGACTAGAACAGAGCCTAAAATACCATGTGAATCCAACCAAGATTTGTCAAGGAATGAACTGGATACATGTTTCAGTAAACATGAAAATGTACTGATCACAAGGCACTTATATAAACTCTAAGTCCAAGACCTGGAGGGTCCCTCTGTAGAAAATATTCTTCAGTGGGAGACAAGGAGACTGAGAGAACAAGAAGAGAGTGGGACAAGCAGAAACTTTAAGAAAGAAAGCTTTATTCCAGAGTTATTCAAAACTGGGCTCCCCTTCCTAAGTTTCCTTTTTGTTCTCCCAACAGTCCCCATGTCTTCCTAGAATGCTGAGCTTTGTTGATAGGGAACAACGCTTAAGAATTCTTGCCTCTGTACCTCCAGAGCTCTGCACTGAGACTGCTGAATGAACTTTTAATGACCTCGATGACCCCACGCTGCCTCCCTACACTGAAGGTGACACTGGAGCGCAGCAGAGCACTCTTGGTAAGGCTCACTGACATAGTCTACATATTGCTCCCTTGTGGGAACTTTCTTAGGGAAGACTTCTTCCATGATCCTCACCCCACTCTCACCCAACACCAGGATGAATGATGATGTTACTCTCATGTCGCCTATGTGTTGTATTTTACATATACTGCAGCCTACACTTTGTATTTGTGGTGTTTAGCACCAATTAATCACTCGTCTGTTTGCATCCCTTGTCAGCCTCAGAGGAACAGGGATTACATTTGTCTTGTTCACCACTTGATCCCCAGAACCTAGCACAATACACATAGCAAGTGTCCAATAAATCCCTGTGGCTGTAAATTTTAAAACTATCTCCCAGCTCTGAACAACAGTTTGTTCTCAAGTGCACAATTTATTCCCATATAATTAGTATGTGGCCATGGTTTCTCATGCACTGCCCAATGCTGTGGGCTCTGAGGCTCTGCTTTTGTGGGGAATCTCAACTGGTCCCCTCATCAAATCTTGTTTGAGTCCCAAGAGGACCTTCCAAGATGAGTAAATGGGTCACCCCAAACCCACCCTCACTTCCAAACATAAAGTGAAGGCTACTGGGCCAGAAACATAATACTTGTATGAGAAATTTCCTACCATCAGATAGTTTGGTTTCTTCTGTTAATGAAGACAACTGAAGAGTTAGGAAGAATGATCTTTATTGGATTATCTGTGGTAGTGCCTCAAATCTTCCTATACTGAAGCAATATTCTGTTATACTCTCAAATCCACTTGGTCAGGAGTTTGTATGAAAAAACCATCGAATTGAAGCACAAGTCAATTGTTACCAACATAAAGAGCAAAATATCTACATAATTCTCAACATTGCCAAGGGTTGTCATGAATGTCTTGGACGTTCTCGCACATTAACTTGGACTGCAGTGTAGGGAAAAAAAGTGGAAAAAATAAAAACTACGGCTGTTCTCATTCATATTCCTGGAAACTAGGAGTCTGTGTTCATCCCAGGAAAAGAGCCAGGTCACATATGGGGGATGAAAAGAGTACATTTTTTTCTCACTTTTTTCACTTTCTCAGAGTTTCTCAGTGCCTTTCTCACCCACAGTTATTGAATATGGAGTTGAAGAAAAGTAAAGCTATCCTTGGGGGCAGTCGTCGCCCACAAAGCCGACCACTTCAACATGCACTCTCATGTCTGGGAGCACCTGGAAGAATTACAGGCACATACAGGTACTCAAAAGCCCTTTGTTTTAGAAAAAAATTCACCGACTGATTTATGGGTTTCCATATTTTTAATTTTGAAGAATTTTTCCTCCCACAAAGCTGCCAGAGCAGAAGTCTGTAATAGTTCCATTTAAAAATATATATATAAGAACACCTCTCAACAGTTCTAGTGCAGAGGCCTGAGGACACTGGCCTCTCGACCACCACGAGGGCGAGGGTGGAGGGGGCACCAAGGCAGAATGGAGTGCAGGACGCAGATGTGAGAGCTGTGCAGATGGACATGTTCACCCGGCCGAACCAGGCGTGCTCCCACATAGGTCCCTGTCAGAGGTGGCAAGTGTTAGCTTCCTCAGGCCAGCCGAGGTGGTCACTTGGGAGAAGACACCCACCCACCTCGTCTCCCCCTTGGAGAGTTGATTAATCAGCACATAAGAGCTGCAGAGGAAAGACAAGGTCCCTTGCAAGGAGAAAAGGTATTTCTTCCTCATACCTACTGTGCCATGGCTCTTTGGCAAAAACAACTAAAAGACTGATGAGCTCCAGCCATATTTGGGTTATTGCATCTCACCCTCACAAGATGCCTGCGAGTTAACTACCATTCCATTTACACAGAAAGTAAATGGGAGATCTGGTTTCAAACTCGGGCTGTGGGAACCCAGGGCCCACAGTCCTAACATCGCTAAGAAACAGGAAGGCATTAACAACTCAGTTAGCTATGGACACAGAGATAATAATGATACTATGCCCTCAATATTGTCATCTCAGGGAGAGCTGTGCAGATGGACATGTTCACCCGGCCGAACCAGGCGTGCTCCCACATAGGTCCCTGTCAGAGGTGGCAAGTGTTAGCTTCCTCAGGCCAGCCGAGGTGGTCACTTGGGAGAAGACACCCACCCACCTCGTCTCCCCCTTGGAGAGTTGATTAATCAGCACATAAGAGCTGCAGAGGAAAGACAAGGTCCCTTGCAAGGAGAAAAGGTATTTCTTCCTCATACCTACTGTGCCATGGCTCTTTGGCAAAAACAACTAAAATGACTTTGGGTTATTGCATCTCATCCTCACAAGATGCCTGTGAGTTAACTACCATCATGATTCCATTTGAAGGTGAGGAAACCGAAGTGGGAAGATGCCCACATAATGTGTTTTTTTACACAGAAAGTAAATGGGAGATCTGGGTTCAAACTCGGGCTGTGGGAACCCGGGGCCCACAGTCCTAACAACGCTAAGAAACAGGAAGGCATTAACAACTCAGTTAGCTATGGACACAGAGATAATAATGATACTATGCCCCCAATATTGTCATCTCAGGGAAGAGCTAAATAGGATATATTATCATTCAAATTTTCTAAAATAAAGCCACTAAATTAAAATGGTTATCTATTTACTCAAAGTCAGTTCTAACACAGTTGACACTAGAACCTAAGTGTTCTTGGTCAGGCAGCAGCCATGACATTAGATGTGGGGAAACTTCGGACCTCAGCATGACATATGTGGGCTTGATTTCACTGGCTCCTGAGTTAACCTTGATTTTATTCATCCCTAAGTCACAAAGCCTATTTGCTCCACTTTTGGCTCTCCACAGGCGTGAACATTGAAAAACAAGTGAAAACTATGAATAATGGTTAATGGACTTTCAAAGCACAAAGATAAAATGGAGTGGCAATGCATCCGCAGCTCATCGAGAAAACAGTACTGCTGGTCCTCCAGCCCTGCCCTCCACTTTGTCCCACCACTCCACCCCACCCTCTCGCCTCAGCCTCCGCTGCACGTTCCCTGTGTTCTGTCTCTATCTCTCTCTTCTATTCTGCCTTCCTCCTCATTCCACTCACTTGAAAACCACAAAATCTTGCAATTATAACTTCTAGAGGACTTCCGAGAGCACACAGGCCTACATCCCATGTCATACATGAGAAAACAGGTCCGAGAGTGATTTGACAAGGACAAGCTGTGACTTTGCGAGAACAGGGTGTTGACCCTGCTGTCACACCTGCAGTTGTGTCCTGGCCTCTACCAGCATCTGAAACCGTCGTGTTCCCCATTTATAATGAATTATAAATAACAGAAAAAAATCCACCTAAGTTTAAGAAGCTTTTATCTTCCTGGAGGCCTTCCCTTTTTTTAATGAGTTATCTTCACAGAGCCAAGCTGGAATTGGAAGATAATTTTAAGGTCAATCCTTACAAACCATATTCATCTACAAAATAGTTAGAAATGTTTAAAGGAGCTATTCTTAAAAGTTTTTATTTTTCAATGAAAGTTTCCCTGGGTATGCTAATGAATAGCTTTGTCCATTGTTCTCAGACAAAGAAAATCAGAACACTGAACATTTTGCACAGCATTTTAGGAATTTAGGACAATCTTGGCTCCAATCTCTGGGCCCATTAAAATTTTAAAAATCCTGTCTTAAATAAGAAAAAGTGCTCTGTTTCTGGATTAGTGTTAGTGGTTTTCAAGGTGGGCTATGTACATGCTAGGGGTACACATTATGATCTATGGGGTGCTGAGAAAAAATAATGGAACTCCTATTACTGTGTTTTAAATTGCATCCTTCTAAAGTCTTTATATTTGTTTATATCCTTAACATACACAAGATGTTAGTATAGCAACACATGTATAAAATTTATTAATAAGTAAAAATAAACATATGTGGTTGTGTTCTAACTATTCTTTCCCATTATAATGCCGACTGGTAGAGACCAGCAGACCTCCTTGGGGAGACCTTACACTCCCCACGAGGCCCCTGGCCACCAGGGAAGGCCTCTTCTCACCTGGTCCTTGGTCTTCCCTTCCCGCTCCCGAATGTGGTTAGCCACAATCCGCTCCGTTTCCTCGCACAGCCTGGGGAAGTTTGCCAGCTGTCAGGAAAAACAGATCTGAGTGTTAATACTCCAAAAGTTAGACCACAAAAAAAAAGAAGAGGAGATAAGTGATTTATTTTATAAAAGACAGGCATCACAATTCTGGAAGCAGGAGTGGAATTCTCTAGAGAATGGTGGAGTGAGAGAAGGGGCTCCTCGAGCTATAACCAGAGGTAACTATGGTACCCAGAGGAAACTTCTCTACAAAGAAACAGAAGGCCAGATACCATGCAGCACTATGCTCTACAGAGTTAGCACCTGAGAGAGGACAAAGATGAAGGGGACTGGAATGAGCATGAAGAGATGACAATGACTGGCAGTGCTCACTCACTATGTCTCAGGCTGTGTGCTAAACGCCTCATGAACTAACTCATTAAAAAAATCACAACAATCAAAACAATAGATCCTACTAAGACCATTTTGTAGAGGAGGAAAGCAAAGCACAGAGAGGTTACGTAACTTGCCCAAGATTAAACAGCTTAAAATTGGTGGGTCCAGGATTCCAACCCAAGTCCCAGACTCCAGAGCGCAGGGTCTTGCCTGTCACCCTTTTGATGATGATCCATTCCAGAAACCACAAAGATAATTTCATTTATTTTTAATTCTTCCCCAACAGATATATTTGCATATACATGTTTTTGGCAAAATTGTAGAAATAATGCATTTCAATCACTTATCCCATCTAAATTATTCCGATAATTGTCCAAAATATAGTTTGCAAAAGTGAGTGAATGAATTACAGTTGTTTTCAACGTGTGGAAGAAAAAGAATAGGATGAATGAGGATGTTCAAAGAACCCTAATCTAGAAGAGGACTTAGTCAGGAAAAGCTATTTGGGAACAGTTGTGGGACAATGGAGCTTGCCAGGCACAGGGACATGTGTGGGGGACGGTGGCAATGAATAGTGAAAGAAGTGAAAGATCAGATTCTTCCTATCCATCACTTTGAATATTTCTTGCCACTCCCTTCTGGCCTGCATAGTTTCTGTTGAGAAATCAGCTGACAATCATATGGGTACTCCCTTGTAGGTAACTGTTTTTCTCTTGCTGCTTTTAAGATTCTCTCTTTGTCTTTTGCTCTTGGCATTTTAATTATGATGTCACCAGGTAGGGGAAGTTTTCTGTCATTATTTCTTCAAATAGGTTTTCAGTATCTTGCTCTCTCTCTCTTCTTCTGGCACCCCCATAATTCGAATGTTGGTACACTTGAAGTTGTCCAGAGGCTCCTTACACTATCTTCAGCAAAAAATATTCAAAGTGATGAATAGCAAGAACCTACAAGATTACTTTACCCAGCAAAACTATCATTTAGAATTGAAGGTCAAATAAAGAGCTTCACACACAAGAAAAAGCTAAAGGTGTTCATCACCACCAAACCAGTATTATATGAAATGCTGAAGGGTATTCTTTAAGAAGAGGAAGAAGAAGAAAAAGGTAAAGATCAAAAATATGAACAAAGTGACAACAAATACATACCTATCAACAATTGAATCTAAAAATCAAATGAATAAGAAATCTGATGAACAGAATAAACTGGTGAATGGAATGGAATCAGGGGCATGGAAATGGAACAGACTGACGATTCTCAGAGGGAAGAGATTAGACAAAGATCTTATATGCATGTATGCATCACCTATGGACACAGACAATAGGGTGGCCTGGGGTGGGGTAGGAACTGGGTGGAGAGAAGCTATGGGGGGGGAGGAGGTAGACATCTGTAATAATCTCAACAATAAAGATTAATTTTTAAAAAAATAATTAAAAGGTCATCACAGACAGGGAGGAGGATGGTTTCAGGCAAAGCTAGAATGGTAAGCAGGGCCAGATCAGGCAGAATGTAAAATCAAAATGTTTTTTCTGGCTCTCTAATGCAATGCTCCTGTCCCAATTCTTCATAATACACAATGGAACATCCTACTGATATTCAAACGACTTCTGATTAGACTTTCTGCCACTTGTTTCATTAGCTTAGGGTGCACAGCCTTTTACTTAATTTTAAAAGATACTAGAGTTTGCCTGGCTAGGTGGCTCCTTTGGTTGGGTGTCATCCTGTGCACCAAAAGGTCACCTGATCAATTCCTGGTCAGGTCACTTGACCAGGTTGTGGGTTCAATCCCTCAGTTGATGTTATGCTCTCAAATCCATGTTTCTCCCTCTCTCTCCAAAATAAAAAATAAAAATCCTATCTAATAAAATGGGTAATTAACCGTCACTCCATCACAAATATGGCGGCGCCCATAGCCACAAGATGGCTGCGCCCAGTCCTCTCAGCCCCGCCGTAATCCCCCAGTCCTGAGGGGGCGGCCACTGAGAGCAGGCAGCATGAGCAGCTTGGTGGAATGCTTGCTTCGTTGCTGTGCCTGGCTTGGGCCGGCCCCCCGGAGCTGGAGCGGACATGGACAGGGGGGCTGGCCTGCAGCCTCCACGGCCAAGTGCAGGCCCGGAGAGGAGACGATGGGCCCGCCTCCTGCGGAAGCAGCACAGGTCCCTCCCGCCTCCTGCGGAAGCGGTGTGGCTCCCTCCTGGCTCCTCTGGGCGCCAGCAGCTCGCTTCCACCTCCTGCGGAAGCCACACGGCTCCCCTGGAAGCAGCACGGCTCCCATGGAAACAGCGCGACTCTCAGCAGTGCACTGCGATTCCCACCGATGGGCTACTAGTAAATAAATAAGTAAATAAATAAATAAATAAAAATGCCCTAGCTGGTTTGGCTCAGTGGATAGAGCGTCAGTCTGTGAACTGAAGGGTCCTGGGTTTGATTCTGGTCAAGGACACATGCCCAGGTTGCGAGCTCGATCCCCAGTAGGGGGCATGCAAGGGGCAGCCGATCAATGATTGTCTCTCATCATTGATGTTTCTATCTTTCCCCTCCCTTCCTCTCTGAAATCAATAAAAATATATTAAAAAATAAATAAAATAAAAGATACTAGAGTCTGACTGCTCATTTATTCCCTCATCTCTTCTATGTCTCTTACTTAAGGTGCAATACATTTTCTCAATTTAAATCACATTTTTAACCTCTTTCACTATGGATGCTGAATTAAAAGCCTATAGTTGTATGAATAAGTTTACAAATTCATCAAAATTCTAATCACATAGGTCAAAATATTGATCCAGAAGACACCATCTTCAGATCTGTAGTTCCCTATTTATTGTTTAAATATTCTGGTAAATTGATTTATATAGGGTCAAGGAATTACTATTGGCTATCATCATTTTATATTTCTAAATTTATTTCACATCAGTCCTTCATTGAACATTCACTGGGTCCGTGCTATAGGCCAACTGTAGGCTCAGTTGACGTCAAAGCACCTGGTCTTAAAAACCTTACAGTCCCATGTGGCAGGTTGACTGTACAGATCAAGTCTAATGCAAAAAAATAAATAGTTTCTAAAAAGCAAGAAAAAGAGAAAGAAAGAAATGGCCAAACCTTCTCTGAAGAGACCTTAGAGCAGTGGTTCTCAACCTTCTGGCCCTTTAAATACAGTTCCTCATGTTGTGACCCAACCATACAATTATTTTCATTGCTACTTCATAACTGTAATGTTGCTACTGTTATGAATCGTAATGTAAATATCTGATATGCAGGATGGTCTTAGGCGACCCCTGTGAAAGGGCCGTTCGACCGCCAAAGGGGTCGCAACCCACAGGTTGAGAACCGCTGCCTTAGAGGATTTCATGCCTAAATTATGACAGTGAAGCTTCCAAACAAAGCTGGCCATCTATCAAATGGTAAATTACTTCTAAATAGTTTATTATTCAAATTACATTGAATATTCTTAAAAAGAGATTAAAAAACAATACTATATATGACTTTAGGGATCAAAACTTTAAATATAGAATTCTAAGAAAAAAGTTTAATTATACATATTCTGAGAGAAAGCAGTGCCATAATTTTTAAAAATACACATAAAAATATGTTTTAATAAAATCCAGTGTTTTGAGTGTTATTTAGGGTAATGTTTAATTATTTTGGTGGGAAATCAATATAAAATTTTAATTTTGAGCATGAACCACTTTTACCCTAGAGGGAAAAAAAATCACTTGAAAGACATTTCTATCCAATAAAACAAAAATTACACACTTATTAAACTTATTAACCATTGATTAATTAGATCATGAGAGCCATGCTATCAGATTTCCCTTGGAACAGGCATGAGACCAGGCAAAATTTCCATACCTTCAAGAGTAACCAGTTCGATGCCTTAAGCAAAGACTCAGGTCATTAGGTAGCCATCTGTTCATAGTTCCATAGCACACATCACTGAGAAAATAAACTAAAACCAGAACAAAACGTTTTTTATGCACATGACTTGAGTTGATTGGCTTGGCTGAACTACAGATATGGGCTCTGTTTTGATCAAAAAGCTATAAACTTTCCAGTGTTAGCCACTCACTACAAACAGAACAGCAATAATGATTTTACTGCTCCTAAAAGTACACAATAATTTTATTCCATTTCTGTCTATTAAAACCTGCCCCCAAATCCCTAGTAATCCTTTAGCTATATATAACATAATGTTGTGTTTATTCAGGAGATGAAAAAAGTGCTTACCTGGGCACAACAAATTTGTTATTTTAAAAAAGGAAAAAACAGAAGCATTTACAAAGGTGATCAAAGATGAGAAACAATTCTATTATAAAGAGGTCGAGAAATTACACAGGGGTAAATAGGAAAATATGTTATTGAGTGTTCTATATTTCAGGAGTGGCATACGGGAAGTCTCAGAAGACCTAAGCGAAGCTGATAGAATGGAGAAGCCAGGTCCCATTCCGTGGCCTTGGGGAAAGCAATCAAAGAGGAAACAATACTGTTAGCCCTCCTTTTCCATGTAGACAAATCCTAAATCTCTAAAGGTCAAATATTTTCGCCAATTGGTGGGAGAAATGATGAGGTATATACAGGAAGGGCACATGTGGTATGTCAATATGTGCATCCATCATATAACTCACATACCATTTCTTTAAACAGAGACATGAAAACTCATGTTATTTAGCAAA